TCATCCGTACCTGTTGCTAGTGCAGCAACAAAAAATATGCTCAGGTGCGCTAACTCGGGGGCTTTTCAATGGTGTGCTTACCGCTTTCTGCCGAGGTGAGCCTTCAAAGTTATCGGTAAATATATGAAAGTGTAGTAGGATGACCTACGATGCGGCCTCGACGAACTGGCAGGGGCGGCAAGTTGAAGTGATCGACTTAACGGTCGACACTGGCGTGGACGACACCAGTTAATTCGGTGGCGAGTGAGTGTTGTGGATGCAATGCGGTGGCGGAAGCGAGTCAGTGAGCTAGTGCCACCGAGGACAGGAGGTAGTAGTTGAAGTTGCGACCCCGGAGAGCGAAGTAAGGAGTCGGTCTGAAAGGGTGAGGGCTAACAGAGGTGGCTGTATTTGGATTGTAGAATTCTGACGATGGCAGCGGCTACGGAGCGAGGTGAGCGTGCTCAACGACGCGCCGCGTCACGGGAGCGGCCTGCGAGCGCCGTGCAGGCGTCAGCTAAGAGACAACGGCAGCCGGGAGCGGCGACGACTGTGGACACGGGTGACGGTGTCGTGGTGACGCTGGAGACGAGCGGGATCCGGCCGTCGACAGGACGCACACCGATGAACTTGGATATGGGCGGCTTCACCTTCGGCAGCCTGGACTGAGGCGAGCCGACCAGAGGGAGAACTGGCGGTCTTGGTGCTGGAAGGAACGCGAGAAGTGACTCGCAGGGAGTCGGGCGAGGTAACAGCGCGTCGTCAGGCGGAGGAGCACGTGACGGACGGGGTGACGACACGCCACCGGCTGGGGGCACAGGATCAGATACGGATGCGAGCGCTGGCGCTGGCGCGGACGATGAGACGGATGCAGGCTTCGCAGTGGAGGCGATACACTTAACGGAGGCCGGAAACGGCGGTGGACGAGGCGGTGGTTGCCCCGGCCGTGCCCCGCCAGCGGCAGCAGCGAACGCCGTACAGACAGGCGGAAGAGACTTGCCGCCCCGACAAGTGATCGTGCGCAAGAAGGCGAAGGTCCTGAAACTCATGAAGTTCAAGGGGCTGGACGACAACATGCCGGTCACGATGTGGCTCAAGACGGTGCGCGCCGAGGTTCGCCGGCAGGAGGTGACGATGGGCGTGGAATGGAGAGACGACCAACTTTACCACAATTTTTGCTTTGCATCTGGACGGTGAGGCGAGGCGCTGGTTCGCGACGGTGATGGAGTCTGTCTCGCCTGAGGAAGAGAGCATCAATACTCTGGCCAGCATGCTGCGCGCCAAGTACATGACGCAACGCACGGAACCTGAAGTGGTCGATCGACTCAACGCCAGGCGACAGATGAGAGGCGAGCGGCTTGTGGAATACGTGCAGTCGCTGCGCGAGATCGGAGAGAACGGCGACGTTGGCGAGGACTGGCTGGTTAGCGCGTTCCTAAAGGGTATGAGCAGTTCGGAGGGGGCAACGCACGTGCGGGGATACAGGCCCCGAACGCTGGACGAGACGGTGAACCTGAAGATCCTTCGCTGTAGTCGCCCACGTGGGCGACTACAGCGAAGGATACAGCGTCGGCCTCGAGACGGCGATGGCTCGCTGGGACGAGCGCGAAGCGCAGCAAGAGCGCGGGCCTTTGGCGGCGGCGGCAGGAGGCGACGAACGGGAGCAGTTGGGGATCGACAGCGAATCCAAGAGTGTGGTGGCTGGGTACGGCCCAGCGTGGGGTGCGCCCCAGAAGCGGCCGCGGTACGATACCGAGGGAAGGCAAGTAACGGCCGGTGGAGCCGGTTCGACGGAGTGGTGGAAATCAATTCCGCCAGGGTTTCAACTGGTACCTGTCGGTAAGACGGGCGTTACGAGCGACGGTACGAAATTTCGAACGGCTAGCAGCGACCAGGGTGGAGCGCGCGGACGGAGACCCGGCGGAGATCAGCACTTCCGGCGCCCGGCCAAGACGCTAAGAGTGGAGGCCAAGTATGGCGGTGGGCAGGGCACGACCGGTGCCGCCAACCCGGCGTACGCGACGAGGGAGGCTCGCCTCCAGAATCTGGAGAGGTACCAAGCTCGGACGAAGACGCAGGGACGGAGTGCTTCTACCGTGGGCGCGAGGGCCACTTCGCGCGGGACTGCCGACTGAAACAGTCCGGCTTGGCGGCTGGACAACCATAGCCGGAGCAGGATGAGAACGATGGCTCGATCGCGGGAAACGCCCAGCGAGCGTAGGGGGTCCGGCCCTACAGCTCGCCAGATCTGACCCGGGTGAGAGACGAAGAGGTGTGAGTCGGTGCGGACGACACGCGAAGGAGAGGCGGGTGACGACGAGACGGCGCGCGTGGCGGCTGCGTGATATGGCGAACGAGACTGGGGATGACGTGACGCCCAGCAATGACCGAGTGCTGTCTGAGGCTGGGGATGGCGCGGCGGTGCTGAGGCAGCAAGCACCGGTCGGTGACGCGAAAGAGGAGATGGCGTACGGAGACGGTGTCACGGTGCCGATGGCGGCAAATTTGGGCGGTGACGCGACGGACGACGGTGTCGCGAGCGTACAGAGCGCGCGGGAGTCGGCGGTATGGCCAGTAATCGCGAGTGTGATGACGGACGGGACCTGTTGGTGGCGCGTGGCTACGCGGGTGCTGGCGTGATGGACCAGGCCGAAGTGGCGGAGGTTGTCGAAGCACAGCTCCGCGAGTGGAGAAAGATTTACGAGCATGAAACCGTCGACGGCGCCGGACAGCAAACGACG